ATTATCTTATAGAATCTTATCATAATAAAATACTTTACTCAGATTTATTTTTATTTCGTAACAATTAAGACATAATCAATTAACTTAAATCATTATGAAAAATAATAATAATAATATCATTTTCATTTATAATAATTGTCTAAATCACAAATAATTTACTTCAACTATCAGATAGTCAATATTAATCATCTTATTTTACATATTTAAAGACAATTATTAAGATTATTGAAAGAAAATTAAATAACTTTTAACTTGATAATTATGATTGTTCTTGTTTTCTTAAAATTTAAGATTCGCTACTATTTTACAGAATCTTACTCATATATAATATATATTTGCTAAAATTAATGACATTAAATATTTTGTCGATAGAAGAATACTCAAAGAATAATTTTTTTTTAACGATAAAATAGAATTTCTATTTTCTCTCAAATAAAATAATTTAAAAATGAAACAATATTTGAAATAAAATAGAAGTTTTCTTTAAAAAAAGTTTCCCTCTTTTTAACATTCACAAGAATTTAAAGTCAAATGTTTATTCTTATATATATTCTATAAATATCTTCGGAAAATAATAACTTTCATATAGAAGAATCATAATTCGAAAATAGTGAATACAGTCTTGTTAGGGAAAAATAATAAACAACAATAATAGTCTTGCATTTTTATATAATGTTCTGTTTAGTGACTGATTTAGTAGATCGATTTGACGCAGAGTTGTTGCACTCGATTGTTTGATCTTTTCGTAAGACATTTATCAACCAAATCGTATCTACAAGAACAGATGAATGCCATAATGTAGTAAACATTCTATCGGATGAATAATAAACTGTTAATAATTTGTCCAAAGTAATTTCATGGCTGATGATATTGATGTTTTAGAATAATATCTTGTTTATATCTGCCGAACAAGATAACAATTTAATTATAGTGACTTACAATCTTGTTATATTTTCGTTGAAAATTATCTTTAATAAAGTTATGTTTTAAAAAATTTATTTAGTTTTGTAAAATGTATAAGAATAAATTGTTAATCTTGTATTATGAAATATAACGAAATTCTGTTTTATTTAAAATAATCTAATAATATAAAATTTCAAAATAGTTGAATAGTTTATGAGATCATCTTTCTAATAGATTAAAATAATTTATTTTTTCAATAAAAGATTTTTTTTGTCTATGAAAATATAAAATGAAAATAAAATTTAAAAAAAAATAAAATAATTTAATGTTAAAAATAAAAAAGAAATTTTTCTTTTTATTTAGAAATGGAAAATCAAACAAATGTTTTATTAGAAAATGATAAACAAATAAATCTAAATGATTCATATGATTATTCAAATGAATATTCATTATCAAAATCTCCATCACGATTATCTGATAATGAAACTTGTCGAACAATTGTTTCAATGTTAATTAATCAACGAAAAACGAATTTAGATCTTGAACAACAACTTAAACATTTACAATCATCAATTAAACCTATTTCTCTTTATGAACATCAAACACATTCATTTGGTAATGAAATTAAATTAAACAAAAAAAACAAAAAGAAAAAAATTATTTTTTTTTTTTTTTTATTTAAAAGTCTCATAATGTTCATCATCAAGTACCTCAACAGGCTATTCAAGTGGTTCATCAATTGATGGAAGTAGTACTATTCTATCAGCTTTTAGTTCACGTTCAAATAGTTCATTATCTGAAAGAAGTAAAACATCACCAACATCATTTAAATCACTTTTAACAATTAAATCTCAAATAACAACAGATGAAGATTTTTCTTATAAATCTTCAATTTTATATCAACAACAACAACAACAAACAGATTCAGATGAACCATCAACTAAACGACGAAAATTTATTAATATAGAGGTTTGAATATTTTTCTTATTGACCTCATTGGATAATCAATAGTATAAATCAATAATATATATTATATATGCCGATATCAAACAGAATGACAGTTAACATTATCAAAGTTAACAATATTATTCGTCTTGTTTAACTATTTCTTGTTTTTAAAGAGGATAAAATTGATCCGCATGAAATTTTTCCGATAGATACTTATAAGTATTTTCTACAAGTGAAATTGATTGTTTTCGCATTTATTTTATTTTGTTAACTATTCTATCCAGATTTCTGTAGTCCTGAATGTCAGGACTCTGCTTTTCGATCGAAACCTTTACGCATTCGTCTACATAAAAAAATAAGAAGATCAGATGTTTGAAAAGTTTGAAATAATCTCGGAAATGTTGTCTAAAGTATCTCGAAAAACAATTTTCAGTTCGATCGAAAAGTTTTTTTAAAATTGTTTTCCTAAAATATTTATATTCTTATTTTAGGAGTTCTATCTATAATAAAATTTCCATACGGATTATTATTAATATTCTATTCGAAAGCGAGAAATGGTTAATAAATAATGGAATTTATCGTTAAGTTCATATGAATAAGAATTCTAGTTGAAATAATAATAAAATAGTTTTTCGTGTGTTATTTATTATCGTATGACAATGATCTATGATTCGATTTAGAAGATGAACAAATACTTTTCTCAAAATCCTTAATAATTTTATTTTCGATATGAATATATATATATATTCGTTGTTAAATAATTATTGTTTATTTCAATTTATTATTGTTAAATAAAATATTTGATAATTTAAGGAAAATCAAGGTCCAAGAACTCGATCTCGAAGTATAAGTGAACGTGGAGTAATAAATGAATCATGTTCAATATTAAGACGTAAACGAAAATCATCAATTGTTTGTGAACAAAATCAAAGTGAAATAAAACAACAACCAACAATTGATTATATAAAACAATTAGATGGTAAATATATATTTTCTTTTTTTTTTTATTTATTTCTTAAATAAATATTTAGAAATGAAAAATCAATATATTAAATCAAGTACAAATCGACATTCAACAAATGAATCAATAAATAAAAGTCAATTAGCATCAAAATTAAAAG